CCAATCCTAAAGCCAATGATAGAAAATGGACGATGTTGTTTATTTCCGTTGTGTGTGACATGTAAGTGTTTAGTATAATATTATTATTATTGATTAAATCGACTCTTATACTTATAAGGGTTTTACTTGGCGCAAAGGTTTGCCAAAGAGCCATGAGATGAACGGGATAAACTGATTCTCAACTTCTTTCCAGGGTAATTAATAGATAGCATTTCCATAGCGCAAGTTTCCGCTCAACTATGCGCTTTACAATCTATGTTATTATTACCCCAGCAGACCTGATCTCATTTTTAAACAGTCTGAACTTCCTGGGAAGCATACAGTGCCAGCTGCAATTTTATAGGCACTAAAACCCTAACATACTGACAAGATCTTTCACTGTCTAAGGCCGGATACCAACTTTACTCTAGTTGCCGGGTACCCATTCCCACCTGAGTGAAGTGAGGAGAATTCGTGTAAAGTGCCTTTCCCAAGGACACAATACCGGGCCTGAAGCTCAAACCCCCGAACCCGCAACCTTACGATCACGAGTCCGGTGGTAGCCTAACCACTAGACTACCGACGCTACAAATCTTACCTATCAGACTGCGTAGGACTGGCGTCACAGTTTAGATGGTTTAGGAGGCAGGCTTTGACCCTGCCTGTCAAGGCCACCCGGGGTTAAAATGGATACGACATCCCAGCGGAAAAACCAAGAAAAAAATCTTCCCACGTGGGAATCAAACTTGGGTCTTCTACGGACAACAGGAAATGCAAGTCGCCTAATTGCTACATAACAGACGCCGGCACAGATATAGAGAGGCTGAAGCAACAGAGGTTAAGAAGTAAAAACGGGAAACAGTACCCTTCAGCCGCCCACATAACGCCGCTGTCAGCTATCCGAACAGCCGAGATCGTTTTAAGTGTTCTACAAAGCCCAAAGTGAAAGATTTTTATGCGAATTCGGGAGCCAGAAAGCGAAATACTATTATCATAGTCGGCCAACCATAGCGGTCTGGTGATCCACCGCTAGACATTGAGGCTAGGCTATTAAATCCTTTTTTCCGAAATCTGTATATAGCGGTGACTTGATTTATTGCCAGCTCCGAAACAATTCCTCTGTATGCGTCACTCGTCAGGAATCTTAAAAGTTGGAAATCTTTACTTTGGACATAATTGGGCAATTCCACGCGTTACGGCATGGCACTGGGAGACAAATATATTTTTTTCTCAAGTTTTTCTTTTTCATCTTTTTTATTTCACAAAACGTGAAAGCCTTGGATGATCAAAAAATGAAGTCGTTCATTTTAAGACATATGAGAACATTGTGCGTCATCATACGTACTTGATAAAAGCTTTGACCATCACGGCATGACGGTGAAGGGACATTTAAAATTTAATTTCTTCTGACATACCCCCGAGTTTACTCGTAATTTTCCTTTACACGAACACAGACGTTGTCTAGTTACAGAAAATATAACCTGCAGAAGAGGCAAGCGAAAATCATTTCATACAATGACAGAATGCTGACGCCAATATTTCTGACTAATGTCTCGACTTCTGACAGATGAAATTATGAATGACATGAAATCTGTCATCTACAAAAAAAAAAAAAGAAAAGATAATTAAAAATTAAACGTTCTTGGATTGCCGTTACGAGGAGCTGTTTCCTTTGTTTGTTTTGAAAGGAATTCTTTAACACAGCACTGGTCACTTACTGCAGGAAAAATGCGAGGTGGAAAGACAGATTCGACAGAGCGAAAGAAATGAAGTAGGGTATGGCAGTTCTTCCCCCCAAACACCCAGCTGTTTATTAGAAATAAAAAGTTTTAAATGGGCAAGTTGACAGGGAATCTTTTCCTCGTCTTTCAATATTTTTTTCTTTTTACTTTTGGTTTTGTTTTGTGTTGTTTTTGTAAAAGAGCGAAAAAGCTCCGTTCTTGACTTCCCCGTACTGCTTGATCATTTAAGATGTCTGCAATGTCAATATAAAAGCGAAAATATTCTTCCTCCTGAATATTAAAAAAACTGCATATTATTATGAAACTAACTATATCCGGATCCTTTCCCATCAGAGAATTATTTGTCCTGCTTTGTTGTTGTTGTTGTTGTTGTTGTTGTTGTTTTTATTATTTTTGTTTGTTTGTTTGTTTGTTTGTTTGTTTGTTCGTTTATATAGTTATAAGAAATTGATATCGACTGACTGCCTCTTTCACGTGGAATCGCCAAACACAAAGAGCTCTCGAGTCGTCGTCGCTATGCCCCACTTCGCGATCCGCCTTGATGGTTTTGTCTACGTTATTAATGTTTCGATAAAGTGGACTTGTCATTTTTATGGATAAGATCGTCGTATTGTTATAATAATAATATGTACCATTGTAAACTCAGCACAGCAAATATCGTGCTTAGCGGAGGAGCTGAATACATAAGACCAAAAGCCAAAAGCAATGTATTTTTGAATCTGTGTTGCTGCTACTATTCGTCTCTTGTTCCGCCGAGTTCCGCAAGCTATAATCCTTTATATAGTAGCAGTTTTACGCCAAGCAAATAAACATTTTGATCAATTAGGAAG